TCTCTCTCTCTCTCTCTCTCTCCCCCTCTCATCCCTGGCTGTCACCCAGGGGACTGGCTCTGGCCCTGGCAGCCATGGAGACGTCGCATCATAACAATTATATCAAGAGGAGCCACGGTGCCAAGGACACCTGCCACTTAGTGAGTCCTCACTGGGTACCCGGTGTTCTTCCCAGAGCCGCTCGCATGTCAACACCGTGATCTCCCGAGAGCCCTCGGCAGCACCTTCTATTTTGAAGACTGTTTGTGTCTCTCTTTAGCTGGGTCCTCATCCTCGAGCCGGGGGAGTTGAACTGGTGATCCCTGCAAGGGCCTCATCTCATTCCCGTGGATCCCCCTTCCCTTCTGCTGTTTTAAAAAATCGATTGAGCGAGAGGGAGGGAGAGACAGGACTTGTTGTTCCAGTCAGGCATTCACTGCTTGACTCTGGTATGTGCCCTGATGGAGTGTATGTGTGTGTGTGTGTGTGGTGGGGGGTGGGGGGGGATGTTAAACGGGTTAAACCTACAACGTTGGCACATGGGGACCAGCCAGCTGTGCGACCTGGCCAGGGCGGCTGTTCTCTTTATCGCTGTGTATCTTTTGCCATTATCTCTATTGTGTATCCTCTGCTATTTTTACTGCTGTGTATCTTTTGCCTTTATCTCTATTGAGCATCCTCGGCTACTGTTTTTATTATTGTCTCCTTTGCGATGATCTTTGTTGTTGTAAATCCTTGTCGTTGTCTCTGTTACTGTGTCTCTTTTGTTATCGTGTTTATTCGCTTTAAAAAAAAAATTAAGTCGAGCCCTTAGACCAGTGATGGCGAACCTATGACAGGCGTGTCAGAGGGGACACGCGAACTCATTTTTTGGGTTGATTTTTCTTTGTTAAATGGCATTTAAATATATAAAATAAATATCAAAAAATAGAAGTCTTTTACTATGGTGGCAAAGATCAAAAAATTTCTATATGTGACACGGCCCCAGGGTTAAGGTAGGGTTTTTCAAAATGCTGACACGCCGAGCTCAAAAGGTTCGCCATCGCTGCGCTAGACTGAGGTTGAGGGGAGTAAGTGCTATGTTTTCTGCTAAAAACAAAAACAAACAAACAAACCCTGGCTGGGTTGCTTGGTTGGTTCGGGCATCCTCCAGATGTGCTAAGATGGAGGGTTTCATCCCAGGTCAGGGCACAGACCAGCGTCAACCAATGAATAAGAAAGTGGAGCAATGAATGCTTCTCTCCGTAAAATCAAACGTTTTTGTTTCTTTTCTGGTAAAATCCATTAAAAAAACACGCACACATTTTAAAATGAAAACAAAACAAAAAAACACCTACCATTAAAAAAAAATTAATGGCCGGCGTGGCTCAGTGGTTGAGCGTCAGCCTAGGAACCAGGTCACGGTTCCATTCCCAGTCAAGGGCACAGGCCCGGGTTGTGGGCTCGATCTCCAGTGTGGGGTGTGCAGGAGGCAGCCGATCAATGATTCTCTCTCATCATTGATGTTTCTCTCTCTCTCTCCCTCTTCCTTCCTCTCTGAAACCAATAAAAACTTTTTTAAAAAAATTTAAGAAGAAACTCACATGTCAAAAGAAACATTCCAGGTGAACAGTTCATTGGCATTTACATTCTCAATGTAGATTTTCTTAGTATATGTTATAACAGCTTGCATACTGTTTGGTGTGCAACGTCTCCTTCCCGGACCGCGCTATTTAAAATAGCAGCTCCAGCCCCGGCTGGTTTGCCTCAGTGGATCGAGTGTTGACCTGCGGATTGAAGGGTCCTGGGTTCAATTTTGGTTGCAGGCTCGATCCCCAGCGTGGGGCATGCAGGAGACAGGCAATCAATGATTCTCTCTCATCATTGATGTTTCTATCTCTCCCTTCCTCTCTGAAATTATA